GGTGATGATGATGATGATGATGATGATGATGATGATGATGATGATGATGATGGTGGTGGTGGTGGTGGTGGTGGTGATGATGATGATGATGATGATGATGATGATGATGATGATGATGATGATGATGATCACGATGATGACGCCGCCGATGACGACGACGACGAGGATGATGCTGATGATGATGACCACGATGATGACGACGATGATGATGCTGATGATGATGACGATGATGACGATGATGTTGATGATGATGCTGATGATGATTCTGATGTCCATGTCCATGTCCATGTCAGACTCCCCACAGAAGTGCCCCAAGAGATCCCGGCATCAACGATTCACGCTGCCTGGGCCGGCCGCGCTGGAGCAGCCGCTACACGGGCAGGCCTCTGGAATCACGGGGGGCAGCAGTCAGAAGTCGCACACAGCAGGCAGCAGCAGCAGCAGCAGCACCTTGAGCACCAGCAGCACCAACAGCGGACAGCGAGCAGCAGCACGAAGCAGCAGCAAGCAGACGGCCCTAAGCAGCAACCGGCAGCACGCAGAAGCGAGCGGATGAGCAATCGACGAAGCAAGCAAACAAGCAATCAGGCGGTCAGGCCACGAGTTGTAGGCCACCGGACCAGCAACTCCGCTTGCAGGGTAGCAGTGTGGAAGTCCAGCTGGTAAGCAAGATTCACCCTTGCATGCGACTTACGTTGTCGTGGCCGCCAGGATAGTTTTGACCAGATCATGTCGTTTGACGTGGACGTCGTCCACGGGGGTCAGCCCTAGTCAGCTACAGCGCTGGGATCAGCGCATGCGAGAAGGGTGAGCAGTGGCTGCGGGCTCTGTCGCTGTTCAGCGAGATGCGGGACGCGGAGCTGGAGCCCAACGTCACCATTATGTTTACCAAACCACGGCCATTAATCAAGACGGTCCAGCACGGCAGAGTCCACTTCAACCTGGTCGATCCGGTCCGATGCCGCTGGCGACCAGCGCGATCCGATTCGATTCAGATGCTCCGACGGTTCGATGCGGCCCGATGCTCGCACGGCGATGGTGAGCATCCTGGCGCGGCCGCTTCAGTTCGTTTCCAGCGGGTGGTTAGGGCCCTTCTCTTCGCCCCCTATTTAGGTCACCCCCCATTACCACCCGCCTGTTCGTTCCCGACTCCGTGCCGATGTAGCCCAAACCGACGCACATTCCGGCTCAGCCCGTCTTCCTGATTATCAGCGGCACCGCAACGGATATTCATTCACGCGTGCTCTGGAGATTCGCCGAGAATTGCCATTGTAGGCCTCTTTCTGGCATTGCAGCGTTGCCCACATCGGGGAGGGTTGGGTTCGCTGGGTCACTGCCTACGCACCCGTTATTGGAGTCCTCGTTGGGGGGGCGGTGAGATTCGATTCTGGCTGCCGGTGTTGCCCGGCGGCGCCGCTCGCGGGGCGACGCTCGGCGCTTGGCGTCCAACTGGAGAGGCGCCACGATTCGGCGACCACACGCGAGCCCCACTCCGATCTTCTCAGTAAGGGTCGGGGGGGCGTCACCCCCTCCGACAGCCACACATCGACCCCCGTCGCGGGCAGCCACCACGCGCCGAAGGCGCTCCGACCCCCGTCGCGGCTCGACGACGAGGCGAGGTTGATCCCCGTCGGGGGGGGGTCCCCCCCCACGCTTATTAAGAAGCCCAGAGTACCCCCACCCCCCTTCCGGCGACGTGCGAGGGGGGGAAGTGAGAAGGGGATGGCCTTCTCGGAGGGCTCTCGGAAGTCCCCCGGCCTATGGAGAAGTCTTCGAAGCCTTCCTTGGACGCACACAGGTGCCACGATTCGGCGACCACACGTGAGCCTCTTCGAAGCCAAATGCAAGTCTTTCCCGCGGGCCGCATTTCGCGCGTCGACCAGCACGGAAAACTTGCGTTTGGTTTCGAGGGGGGATGTACCCCCACCCCCCTTCGGGCGGCGAGCGAGGGGGGGAAGTGAGAGGGGGCGGGCCTTCCCAGAAGGCTCAGAAGTCCCCCGGCCTCTGCAGAAGTTTTCTGGGCCTCCCCCGAAGACGCAGAAAGATCTTCAGAAGGCTGGAGAGGGCCTCTGAGAAGCCCCGCGGCCTCCTGAGAAGGCCCTCTCCTTCTCACTTCCCCCTCTTCTCCCCAGGACCCCACTCCTCGAACAAATCCCCCGGAGGCCTGGCCCGCCGTGGGGACCCTCCGATGCGCATCACCACCCTCCGGCACTCTTCGGCTTGACTCCGGAGCCGCCTTCCCCCCTTCTCACTTCTCACTTCCCCCCTCTCCTTCTCCTTCTCCTTCTCCCGTCGCTCGCCGCCGACCCTGAGAGATCGTGGGGGGGAGGGTTCACGTGCGGTCACCTCACGGCGCTCACGCGAGCCTCCCGGAGAGGTCTTCAGATTCGGGTCGCCCATTCGTGTGGTCGAAGTGGGCGCGGTCGGTGGACCGCACGACCTTCCGGGCCCTCTCTGCTCCGACCCAGCGCGGGCGATCTCCACTGGAAGCCTGTGGATGAGCCCCAGATGCCAAGCTCCTCCTCCTCCTCCTCCGCCTTTTCCTCCTCCTCCTCCTCCTCCTCCTCCTCTTCCTCCTCCTGTTCCCCCGCCTACTTCTCCTCCTCCTCCTCCTCCTCATCCTCATCCTCCTCCTCCTCCTCCTCCTCCTCCCCCTCATCTTGATCCTGCTGTGGATACGCTGGGCTCATCCTTATCCTGCTTATGCTCCTGTTCCTGCCCCTGGTTTTCCCCCTTATCCCCCTGGTCCCTCCTCCTCCTCCTCCTCCTCCTCCCCCTCCTCCTCCTCCTTCTCCTTCTCCTATCGAATTTATCCCTTCGGCTTTTTGAAGGCTTCTGTATTCGTAGATTTTTGACCCCAAGCTTGCATCGCTGATGCCTCATGCGGCGTCGGAGTGATTCGGTGCGCATCCAGGACGGCCCCACAGAGCCCCAAGAAAACCCCCCAACATGGCCCCATGCGCCCCATGGATCTCCCGAGATGATTACGCGACGTGCCCTGCAAGTTCCATGACAATTCTCATCGCGGTTGGTGGACGAGGGAAACAAAATTATCTTGGCGAAGGACCCAACCATATGCAATTGTGAATAACGCTTTGTGGGTGCCGCTTTCGGTGGGGCTCCTTATGGGGCCACGAAAGGCGTGCCACGAAACGCTGTCCTGGGCGTACGGGACGCATGAGGGCGGTAGCACTGGGGCCTTCGGTGGAGCTCCCTATGGGGCCACGAAACGAAATGTGAGGGAACGCAGCCACTGAGGCCTTCGGTGGAGCTGGGGCCACGAAACGTGTGAGGGGTGTGCCGAAATGGGTGCGGCGCCATGCCATGCATGCCACGCAGGCCTTCGGTGGAGCCCCCTAGCTCCCTATGGGGCCACGAAACGTGTGAGGGGTGTGCCGAAATGGGTGCGGCGCCGCCATGCGAACGCAGCCACTGGGGCCTTCGGTGGAGCTCCCTATGGGGCCACGAAGCGTGTGAGGGGTGTGCCGAAATGGGTGCGGCGCCGCCATGCGAACGCAGCCACTGGGGCCTTCGGTGGAGCTCCCTATGGGGCCACGAAGCGTGTGAGGGGTGTGCCGAAATGGGTGCGGCGCCGCCATGCGAACGCAGCCACTGGGGCCTTCGGTGGAGCTCCCTATGGGGCCACGAAACGTGTGAGGGGTGTGCCTAATTGGCTGCGGCGCCGCCATGCCAGCGCAGCCACTGGGGCCTTCGGTGGAGCTCCCGATGGGGCCACGAAGCGTGTGAGGGGTGTGCCGTGATAGTGGGAGGAGGGAGGGGGGAGGGGGCGGAGGAGGGAGGAGGGGATGACGGCGATGGGAGGAGGGAGGAGGGAGGAGGGGGAGGAGGGAGGAGGGGATGACGGCGATGATGACGATGAGTATGATGACGGCGATGGGAGGAGGGAGGAGGGGGGAGAGGAGGAGGAGGAGAGGAGAGGAGAGGAGAGGAGAGGAGAGGAGACGCCGGGCACCGTCTCTTCAAAACGAGGACCCAACAACACAGGACGGTTGGGAACAAAAGTGAAAGAAGAGAGGCCGAGGACAGCCCCAGAGCGCTCCTGGGAGTGCCCAGGACGGTCGCGAAGAGCTTCCAGACAACACGCGGGGACCGCAAGACGGCATCAAGAGGCCCCCCCGAGAGCCCCAAGACGTCCTAAGGCGGCCCCGAGGGGGCTCCGATATACGCCCAACGCGGCCCAGCAAAGCCCCTGGCACGGCCCAAGGATCCACGTCGGGCCAGCAGGCTAGCAGACTTAGAAGCCACGCGAGCAGGACAGCACGCTGGCAGGCAATCTGGCACGCAGGACCTTAAAGCAGCAGCAGCCTGCAGCAGAACGAAAATGCGGCAAGCAGCAGAAAATAGCGGCATCATGTTGCAGAGTTGACATAATAATTTACAGACAACTATTTCATATCGACAGCAGGCGACATTAAGAGCAAGCGATGAAGCAAGCAAGCAAGCAAGGCATCAGGCAAGTCGGCAAGCATGCAAGCAAGACAGTCATGGATAACGTTGCCAGGCCTGGCAGCATGCACGCAGATATCCGATCTTCACTCGTGCATGCGAGTAAGCGGGGGCACTCTCAATGTAAAATCGATCTGGCTAGTCATTGCTCGACTTCGGGACGCTCCATAACGACCCAAGAGAGTTCCGAGCCAGTCACGAGACTGTCCAAGAGAAGTCCCCAGCGGCAGGGGAGGGCCCGGAGACGCCAAGGGAGCCCCCAGAGGACCCAAGTGCGCTCCAAGACGGCCAAAGATGGCCTCCAGACGGCCCAAGAAGCCCCAAAGTCGGCACAAGAAGGCTCCAAGAGCATCCCCTATAGAGCTCCTAGAAAAAGCATATTGAGTTTCTCCATGTGTTCGATTGATTAGTGTAGATTCGCTTCGCCCGACCTAAGAACACGCAAGGCGGCCCAGAAGGCCCCCGAGATCCTATCAAGACGGTCTCAGAGGCCCACAAAAAACCTCCAAGAAGTCCTACAGGACCCCAAGGCGGCCTAAGGGGCCCCCAAGACAGTGCCACAGGCCGCTAGCATTGCACACATCTCCTCTTGTCTGTGTAGTTGTCTCGCTTGTGCTTTAGGAAAGCCCGCCGTTCCGCACCTTGTATCATGCTTGTTGCGCACGCAACTGGAGACAATTCTGGCAGATCAGCGGGTTGACTTGAGCACGATTCGCAATGGGACACTGCTGGCAGCTGCTTGCTTTGAGACCAAACACAAGGCCCACAGGCCGCCAAGGCCGTGCGACCGCCCCAAGACGGCCTCAGACCGTGCCAAAGTGGGCCCAAGGCGCCCCCCGACCGCGCCCAGCTCCCTTCAAACGGCACCTAGATGCCCCAAGGGGTGCTAAGACGCCCCGAGGGCTCCCATGGAGCCAAAGAAGCCCCTGAGGAGGTCCCAAGTTGGCCCCATGAGCGACCCAGGAAGAGACGCAATGTTCCACCACACGCGCGTCGAGGCAAGTGGGAGTTCCGAGTGCTGGCCTCGTCTCAAGCCCCCCATCCTTGCTCCACGCTCCTGGTTCCTCGCTCATTGCTCCTCTCTCCTCGCCCGCCCCGCTCTCCCTGCTCCTGTCTTCTGACTCCTCCCTGCTTGTTCTTATTTCACCAGGCATCAGGCCCAGTTCACGCTGCTAAGTGGACTGTCGCCAAGTTTCGCACCTTCCTGCAGATCGCCGCGGCTGATCCTGAATCGCAGCACTGTAAGGATAGTGTGAATATTTGCCGTCAGCCCCCCAAGTTTGTAGCCAAGCACCTGGGGGACTTCTGGGTTCAGCTCACGGCGGCGATGATTTTCATGGTTTTGGGGCCCGCGTCCGACTGGGAGAAGGGCTATGCCGTGCTCGCTCGGATCGACGACGCGTTCCAGGGGGCCATCGCTGCCGATCGAACTCGAAGCTATCAGAAATGGACGAGTTTCATCTTGGACAGGATCGATACAGGAGGTAGGAGGCCGCACTCGATCATCAAGGGCTCCGAACCTTGGAAATCGACGACTACGCTTTCTTCGGGAGGATGTGTCTTGGCTGACCCCCTCTCGCTGCTGGAATCGGAGGCTTGTCGGTTTTCGTCGCTTTGGAAGTCTTCGTCGGTTCCGCTCGCGAGGGAACTTCGTGCCGTTGGACGCCCTGCCTGAGATCTCTGTTGATTTCGTGAGAACGAAGAGACGCAATACCGCCTCCCACGCAGCGGTTTCGATTGATGGGTTTCACCTGAGACATTATGCGTGCTTGGGCGACTCGTGCTCTGTTCTTACAACCATGATGCAGACCATGGAGCGATCAGGTGCGGTGCCGCAGCAGCTGCGTGTTATTATTACTGCGTTGCTGGCCACGCCTGAGGGGGGATACCGCCCCATTGGCATATTTGTCTCGGCTTTCCGATTGTGGGGCCCATGTCGCAGGGGCCTTGCACCCGAGTGGGAAACGGATAGTGCTCGACAGTATTTTGCAGGCCGCAACTTTGCGTCGGCTTCCGACACGGTATGGCACCAGGCCTTCCGTTCGGAGATTGCCAAGAGGAAAGGTTCCACGGCGGCGACCCGGCTCTGGGGTTTGTACACATTTTACGCACCGGTTGATTCGAATATGTTGTACGCGCGCTGCTTGCGGGTGGGTTTTCCGCTGCAGGTGGCTAGGCAGTGCATTGCGTTCTGCCAGAGCCCTCGGTTCATCAGCATGGGAGGGGTGGCTGCTTGTCCACATTACGCTCTACGAGGGCTGGTGACTGGCTGCTCTCTGGCTGCAGCGCGTTTTTCGCGTATTCGTGGTTATCATTATTGATAAGGTGATGCGTTGTGTTCCACGTAACATAACTCTAGACATCTACATCGATGGCTATGGGATTTCAGGCCAAGGGAACCTTGAAGAAGTATCCACGGGCATTGTTCTGAAATCGCGCATGATCTACGACGCTGCCATCAATGAATCAGGCTGCAATGTATCGGCTGACAAGGCTGCGCTCGTTGCCTCGTCCGCTGAGCTCGCAGGAAGTATTCGTAATGCTGTCGGTGATCTAGCGGGACAACCAGGCATCTCTGCTTCTACTTTGGGCTGCGACGAGTCATGCGGCAATGTTTCTTTTTCGCGCAGACAGGTCTAAGAAATTCAAGCTCCGCGCCTTATGGAAGCGAAATCAGGGGATCCTCGGACCAGGAGCTGCACTCTGCGAGACGGGTCTTTGGAGCATCGTGCCAGCCCAGCGCTGGGCAGCGCCCCCTGACGAGCTTGCTCCTCCTCGAGCGTGACCCGTGCTATTCTGATGCGGCGAGCCCGATTGTGCGCCACGAGGAGGCGTGGATTGTACAAGCAAAGGCTAGCCTTCACTGCTTGAGCTACCAGCGCTGCGAGAAGGCAGGGATGAAATTGTTGGCAATGAAGACCTGGAAGAGAAATCCGGGAGGGCCATGAGAGGGCCCACTTCAGCGATGTTTTGTCCGTCAAGCATACCGGCTGGGAAATGAATTCTTTCGTGGAGTTGGTTGACGATTTCGGGGGCGCGGTCTTCCTCACCTTGTGTAGGAGGCGTTCCACCAGGCGGTTCTGAGATCCCTGGGGAGAGACAGCGCCAAGTCGTTGCTGCCCGCGGCCGCCCGCCTCTGCTGCGACCAGGCGCGCGCTGCCTTAGCGAGCAAGCGCTTCTCACCGCTCCAGAAGAGCTGCATCGAAGCGTTGTGCTGCAGGGCCGCGTGGACGAAGCTGGTTGCAGTTAAGCGTGGGTATCAGCTGGAGGATGTCACTGGCAGCCTTTGCGAAGACGGCCAGGACTCACTGGAGCATCGGTTGTATTGTTGCTCGGCTGGCTTTTAGGAGCACGAGGAAGTCCTCGAGCGCCCCAAGGATAAACCGCCCGACGCGTCCACGGTGGATTCCCAGGACCCAGACAAATCTATGATTCCCGAGGGGCTTGTTCAAGCACCCAGGAGATGTAATTCCTCGCCCTTTGAACGCTGGTGGGTGTGTTGTGGAATGGCCAGGGAGAGAAGATGCGAGCCCCATTGAATTGGAGGTCCAGGGTGACGTTTCCTTCGGTGGGTGCTGTTATGAGCATGTAATGCCCGAGCTGCCCAGGGGAGGTTGGGGGTTCGTTGTGTATAACGAGGACCGTGGAGTTGTCTGTCTTGCCAACGGCCCCGCATGGGCTCCGAATCCGCAAGCGCCCCAGGCCGCCGAGTTTATCGCGATTTCTGCCACGGGACAGTTTGCTCTTCCTGGGCCACAAGTTTTTTGTTTCGGACTGTGCGAACGTGGTCCACCAGTTTAATCCCCCTGCGAGTGAGCAGTTTTCTTACACAAGAGTTTACAGCGATGCCTTACTTAACCTGCAGCCGGCTGGTCTTGAGTGGTGGTCAAGGCGAAAGGGCACGCTGTCGACGGGCAGTGATGTGGCCGACCAGCTGGTCACGACTGCGGCTTTCAGGCGCCCGCAGCCAGACCCAGAGCAGATCGAGAAGCTTTCCAAGCAGCTTGTTGTGTCGAGGCTGGTTTGTGATCTGCCTTGGAAGCTTCTCCCTATGTGGCCCCGATTAGATGTTCACAGTACCCCCTTTGTGAAGCAGGCTCAGCAGCAGAGAAGTGTAGTTGCGCACCCGTAGAGCTGGCAAGGCAGGTTCTGGCAATGTGAACGCTGTTTACGAGGATCCAGGGCCGAACAAAAGCTTCTCCCTGGTTGCTGCCAAGGTGGCCCTGGGATCGAACTCCGCGGGTTTGATGGGCCCCGCCTCCAGTCCCTTGGGCACTCGATGGTTTATCTCGACTGCTGGGACAATTCTTTGTTTTTTTGGTATGCTGCCGCTGCAAGGGTTACACATGCGGCGGGCAAGTACGCGGACTGCGGAACGAATGCAGACCCCTTCCCCGAAGCGGGGCCCAAGGAAGAAAGCATTCTTGAAACTGCATCTCCACGGGTTGACATCCCAGGTTCGACGGCGTTACAGTTGACATTGGGCCCTGGCTGATCTCCTCTGGTGAGTGATCGGCTCCCTTCTCTTCTCCCCCTCTGTGACCCTCCGTTTTTCGTTTTCCCCCTTGCCGTGGATGTTAAGAACCCTCGTGGGCCCTCATCCTTGTTTCACTCTTCTGCTCCCACTCGTTCCTCCTTGCCCCGCTCCGTTTCACCGTCGCTCCCTCTTGCTCCCTCGCGCACCATCTCTCTTCGCCTCGTCATACCCTGACGGGCAACAGGCTGCGTCGGTGAGCAGCTATAGCGACCAGCAGCACCTTGCAGCAGCAAACATCGAGAGCGAAGAGCAGCGGCAAACAGCCGAAAACAAGCAGCAGCCTCCTCCTGTTCCCCCCCCTCCTCCTCTTCCTCCTCCTCCTCTTCCCTCAAGCCGCTTGGGCTCGAGCAGCGGGTCAGAAGCCTGGGGGCCGACTGCACGCCCGTTCCCGAGTCCTTCCCTGTACCTCAGAGTGGTGCTTGAGTTCGTTCGCTTGCAATCCTGACACTGTTGCAGGCGTTCGCGAAAGCAGGGATGATGGCTCCGCCGCGTGCCAGGCCATGGGCACGTTGCGGCAATTGCCAGAAGTGCGAGTACAATGACAAGCTTCGCTCCAACAGCATGCAATGTCCGAGCTGCAGTCACCAGATCAAGAAGCTGTTCAAACCCCACGGGCCTCGTCATGTGCGCTTCGAGGACGAGTCAGATTGGGAGAACAGCAGTGCGGGCAGTAATCGTTCTCGCGGCCAGGGCCGCAAGAACAAGGGTCAGGCCGCAGCGCAGCTGGACGAGCTCTTGGAGAAGGCCCTGCGCACGGCGCAGGATGAGGAGATGAAGACGGCGCTCGCGGCCCAGCGCAGCCGCCTCGCCACGCTCCCCGCTGCCTCCCACGAGTCGGCAGCGGAGTCGGTCAAGCGTGCCGACGGAGCGTGGAGGGCTGCCAGCCACAGGCACGAGCAGCTGGTGTCGCAGGTGCTGAGGTTGCGCTCCCAGCTCCAGGCCGCCGAGGCGAAGGAGCAGAGCGCGGCCAAGGAGCTGGCGCTCGCCGAGAGGACCAAGAAGGACGCGGCCATCGCCCTGGCCAAGGCGGAGGGGGTCCGCGGTCCCGAGGTGGCGCAGCAGGGCAATGGCGCCGGCCAGACGCCCACCATCAGCATCCAGATGAACCCAGAGGTGTTCGACAAGTTCGAGGAGTGGGAGTGTGAGGAGTCTGACAAGCAGGCTCTGCGTCAGCCCAAGTCGGAGCTGGAGACGTGGAAGCAGAGTTTCGAGTCCAAAGACGCGGAGCTCAAGAAGTTCTTGGACAAGGTGGCCAAGGCCGAGGCCGACGTCCTGGACAGGATGAAGAAGAAGCGGAAGACCAATGAGGGCGAGTCCACCGACAACGGCGGCGGCAGCGGTGCCTCGGGCAGCGGCCCCTCAGGCGGGGCGCAGCCAGCTGGTGCTGCCGAGGCCGCGGCCGCGGGCCACGCGCAGGCGCCGTCGGAGGCGGAGCTCCAGGCCGAGGCCGAGAGGCTGTCGCAGGAGCGCTTCCAGGCGGCGGCGGCGGCCAAGGCAGCAGGCAAGGGTGCTGCTGCTGCTGCCCCGAAGGCTGCAGCCAAGCCACCAGGGGGCAGCGGCGCTGCTGGAGTCGGCAGCTCTTGACTAGTTTCTGCAAGTGACGACGCTGCTGCGGCGAATCAGCAGCAAGGGGGAGCCAGTGTTTCTACTGGCACGACAACTTCGACCAATATGTTCTTCTCGAACGTCACCTGCATGGGCGACAAGGCCTGGCATTTTCTATCAGCCTTATCGTCCAGCCATGACCTTCTAGCAGTGTGTGAGACACACGTGGGGAATCAAGGTTTGAGCAAGTGGTCTTCACGCGCTCGACAAGCCTCGCTGAAGTTTTTCGCCAATGCTGCTCGGCCGAAGTCCAAGTGGATCAAGCCAGACGAGCAGATGGATAGTCATAGCAATGAAGGAGGAGAGTGGCTCCTCGCCCGCAACCATCGACCAGATCAATATCTTTCTGAAGCTCAAGCTGCAGGTGGCCTCCGTGCTGAGCGAGGCAACATGCACGATGGGTTCGTGCCGCGCATCGTTCACATGAGGGGGTTCTCCCTGGCCAGTCTCAGCTTCTACGGCCATGCAGGCATCGGATTTCGAGATTCGAATGTTGTGCGCTTCAGGAAGCCTGGTTGTCTGCTCCGATCTTTACAGATTCCCTGGATTGTAGCAGCCGACTGGAACCTTTCACCAGACAGTATAATACGTCCGGGATGGCTTGAGCGTGTAGGTGGCCAGATCGTGTGCTCGGATGCGCAGTACACATGCACGCCAGGTGGAGGTAAAACGCCCAGCCATCTTGATTTTATCATTGTGAGCCATGCTGCACGCGCATATGTACGCCACGTGTTGCCAGTTGTCGCCGTGCCATGAAAACCTCACATCGGTCTCAGCATCGAACTCGTCTCAGAAGGTGCACAATTGTACACTAGGTATCTTGACCTTCCTGCTCAGCTTCCGTCTGTATGTAAGCCTCTCCGTTTGGCGACCCCTGGGTCCAAGGCCAGCGGGGCCAAAGCCAAGAGGGCGTTTTCAAGGTTGGAGGCCAAGCAGGTTCGGGACGAGCGTTTCAAATCTTGGTTCGGTCAGGGGCTCGGGCTCGAGGAGAAGGAGGCGGAAGATAATCGCGGTTCAGGGTCTGGTCTCGATCCCTCCTCGCTTGCTCCCCTTTCGGCCCTCAGCGACGCGGACACCCACTTCTGTGAAGGTGGTGAACCCGACTGCTCAGGCGACGACTGGGAGGGCTGCTCGGAGGACGACCCGTGGGCGGACGAGACCGTTTTCAGGCCCGCCGCGCCGCCCCCCTCTGCCGCCCCTGATCCGCGTCACACAGTCGGACAGTCAGTGATAATTAATTCGGCCCCGCGTGAGCCTAGTTCCCCGAACCCAGCTGCTCAGGGGTCGTCTTCCGAGGAGCCGTCCGATACGCAAGCGTGGCAACCTGATTTTCACATTCCCAGCAGCACTTGGATTGAGCAGAGGTCGAGCGTCGGGTTCACTCCTGTCTTTTCGTGCCCTCCCGCTCCTGCCATTGCTGGTACCATAGCCTACCACCTCGGCTCAAGCGATTCGGCTGTGTTGAGCGCCCTGTACGCCAGTTGGATTCGCACAGTCGAGGTTTCCATATACACTCATCATAAGCAGGCTTTCGCTGGAGCGTCCCGCAGTGTGGCACCTCAGTTTCAAGTATCAACTGTTCGTCAAGGCACTCCGTCACGCATAGCGCCACTACGAGGCCGAGTCTGCAGCTGGTGGACACGTGCCAGTACAGTCATTAGCAGTATCACACGACACCTTCGACGTGCAGGAGGTGAGAAGCAGTTAAATATCCTGTTCGACTCAGGCCGACGACTATTGGAGGACATCCCCGAGAGAGCTGCAGAGATCATTCGACACACAGACAGCTTCTCTTGGGATTATTGGCATCACCTCCTTGGTCATTTGCGCAGTAGCACGCTGGCCACCTTGGATGTCAGTTCCCAGGCCATCGAGAAGCTAGCGGCTCGCAGTCAACGACGTGCTATTGAACAGGCCATGGGAGAGTTCAGAGAATGGGCCGAGACGGCACCAGCATTAGGCATTCTTCATAAAAAAAGTTGAAGGAACCGATGCCAGAGGTTAAGGACGTTGTAGTTGACGGCAAACCGATTTTACATCCAACGGACGTCTTGGATCACAAGAGTCATGAGTGGGAGAAGATCTGGGCTCCACCATTTTTATCAGCCAACGGGTCCAGCATCGAGATTGAGGGCTTGAAGCAGCTGTTTGATGACATTCGCGAACGCGTGAGGTACGAGTCCTTGCCCCCGCTGACAGTCACCGGCTTGCGAGAAGCTTTGAAGTCCATCAAGGCATCGGCGGCGATGGGGGTGGATCGCCTCAGCTCGAACGACTTGCTTCGTCTACCCGATGAGGCCTTGCAGGAGATGTCGACCTTGCTCAGTGCGTGCGAGGCCACGCAGTCCTGGCCACACCAAGTCTTGCTCACCATCGGAACCCTTCTTCCAAAGAAGGTGAAAGGAGACAGAACTATAGGCCTGCTACCACACCTGTCAAGGGTGTGGTCGCAGGCACGGGAACCATATGTGAAGCAGTGGACCTCTGAATGCGAAGCTCATTGGGACGCAGCCATCATAGGAAATTCAGCAGTGAGAGAAGTTTTCTTGCGAGCTATCGATGAAGAGCTCGCAGCTCGGCTTCATGTTCAGCTGGGCAACGGCTTGCTCGATATCAGCCAGTTCTACGACACCATAGGGTGGCTGATGGTGGGCAGAGCGGCTATGAGGCTCGACTTCCCAGCCGAGGTGCTGGGGCTGGAGTTGACGCAGTGCATGGCGGCAAGGTGTTTGAGGCAATCTGGTACATATCCGGAGCCATTCGCTCCACTTCGTTCAGTTGTTCAAGGCCTCCGAGGAGGCACTGGATTTGCCAAGTGTGCGACGTGCCACATCATGCATCGGCTCACGACGGTGCACGTGGGCATGGCGCAGCGACTGTGGCTGGATGGCCTCAGCCAGTCAGTCAAGAGCACTCGGGAGACGATGCGCAACAAGCTAGTGAGGCGCCTTGTCGACACCTGCCGCTTGATGAAGCGAGCGGGGCTGGCCATCTCCCCCAAGAGCGCGGTCGTCTGCGCGAAGCTGGATGACGCCAAAATCATTGCCAGGCGAGCGCGTGCCCACGGATTTCAGGTTCGTGCAGTTTCCCAGGCGCCGTACTTGGGGGCCGACCTGGGGGGGGGATCTCGGCATGCTCGAGCGTGCAGGACTGTTCGGCAGGCTAAGCACACGGCCATGCACAAGCGCGTGATCAAGTACGTACGAGCTACTCGGCGCTACGGCCTCACCTCGAGGCTGGAGCAACAGGGTGCCCAAGCTGCTGGATCATACGGGCACCAGCTCCATGGCGTTTTCGGCGATGCCATGACTCAATGTCGCAGGAAGTTAGGCAACGCTCTCGGCCCCAAGATGTCGGGCAGATGCTTGACGACCCTGATCGACTTGAAGGCAGCAGGACGCGACCCAGCATGTAATATGCCTCGCGAGTGCCTGCGGCTATGGCTTTCTTGTTGGACACGACAGCCGAGCATCCGCGACGGCATCAATCGTACGTGGCCTACCTTGGTTCGTGATTTGTCGGCAGTCCCTCAGGCTCAGCGTGCCAGGCACATTCGAGGGCCCCAAGGAGCCGTGATATGCTACCTGCTGCAGGCTGGATGGCGGCCCGTTTCTCCGACATGTTGGATCACGCCTAGTTGCGGCGACGGGCTCGAGCACAGTTGGCAGTTCGGAGTCGATCAGCTCACAGGTGTTGACAATCTAGACATGCTCAATGAGTTCTTTGAAGAATATGAGCGTATTGTGTCTGCAGGTCTCTGGCAACGAGCAGCTCAGCATTACGAAGGTGCAGGGCTCGAAGCTGGAGCTTGCAACCACTCGTACCGACGACTTCTTCAGCACCTTGAGGGCGCACCAGGAGGTCGTCGCCTCGCGGGCCTGATGCTGGCGATTGCTGTTGGGGCTTCGTGGCCACGAATGAGACGACAGGGGCGAGCCAAGCAGGAGATGTCACTGGATTGCCTTCGATGCCGTGGTCATCGAGAGGCAGCCTTTCACCGTGTTTGGGCCTGCGAGGGCAAGTGTCAGCACGACATTTATGGTCTCACCGAGAAGTATGTGGGGGAAGCCTATGCGCAGGGGGAGGCAGATGCCTGCTTCTGGACGCGAGGCCTCATACCTTCAGCATGGTTGGCAGTGGAGTCCCCTCAGAGTGACGAGTCCTGGAGTACGACTGGAGGCGAGTACGTCGACGGCTGCTTCGGGGAGGGCACGCAGGAGGAGCCACTATACGTTTTCGGGGACGCCAGTGGCGGCCCAGAGAGCAAGGACCCGCGGCTACGGAGAGTTGGCTGCGGTCTTGCTCGTTACCACGACCTGTCTGAGAACATGGAGCTGTTCTTGGGAGTGTGGGGAGGACTTCCAGGAGTGCGACAAACAGTTCCACGAGGTGAGCTTCTCTCATTTTACCTTGCCCTGCGGTGCAGCGCGGGGCATGTGGTTTACACGACTGACAACGAGAGCGTGATCATCGGCTGGTACACTCAGAAGTATCGTAACCCAGTTGGACCCGACAGTGATCTGTGGTGGAAGATCGGACGGCATCTTGACGCACATCCCAGTCTGCAGTGCACAATGTTGTTCGTCCACTCTCACCTCGAGGCCCTGGACCTGCTACAGGGCAAGGCGCCCAAGCTGCTCGTCACAGGCAATACCGCGGCTGACGCCTTTGCCTCGACCGCAGCGGACAGGGCCAGAGTGTCGGGTGCAAACAGAGCGAGAGTGCATCAGATCGAGAATAAAGCGTTCTTGGTTCGCATGAGAATTCTGCAGAGTACAATCGAAGCATTGGCCAGTGAACAGGAGCATGAGAAAAGCCTTGGTCGGAAAGCTGCCCGTCGAGCCCAGCCTAGGCCTCCTGCCCCATCCATCTGTGCTATGTTTTCGTCTCAGCATGTCTTATGCGAATCTAATGTCAATAAGTGCAGTAGGTGCAAAGGCACGGCCACTAAAGCGAAGCGTAAGGACTGGCTAACCTCCCCCTGTTTCGAGCTAATTAATGTTGACGGGGCTTTCTTTGACCCCCCCCCCTGGGCGGCGGGTGCATATAGCAGGGGGTTTTCCCGACCCAAGTCATAATTTGAGGCATCACGCGGGACTGGGAGTTTGGTTCTGTTCATCGTGCGGGTTCTATGCAGCTCAGCAGCTTAAAGAACTAGCAAAGCCGTGTGTTGGCCGAATCGAAGGTAATCGTAACGTATACCTCGATCGGATTTCCCGTGGAATTTGGCCTAAGGCTTACAGCAAAGCCGAGCTAGCCAAGAAGCAGAAATCCAGTGTTTAATTCTGTCACCCCGACCTAGTCGCTATATCCAGAGCTCCAGAGCTCCTCCTCCTCTTCCTTTTCCTCCTCCTCCTCCACCTCCTCCTCCTCCTCAACCTCCTCATCCCTACTGATGCAGCAGCAGCAGCAGCAGCAGCACGCGGCAGCGCCAAGGCGCAGCAAACAGCAGCGCGCCAACGGCCAGTGACGGCCCGCAGCAGCAGACGTGCGCTGGCCGAAACGCCGGCCGACGGAGGCCAACGTGGGGATGCCGTGGTCGTTTTTTTTGTTTGGGGGAGGGGGGCGCGTCGAGATCGGCCAGAGCTGGGGCCCCGGAGGGGTCCCCACAGCCTCGTGTTCGCCGCTGACGCCTCTACGGGCAGTGCCGGCGACGAGATGTGGGGCGTTCCAAAAAGGAGCCGTGCCTTCGTGGGTCGAAGGAGTTGCCATCTCTTCCTCGGCGGAAGGCGGCCCTGGGTCGGCGGAAGTAAAACGAGGCCGCCGGCGGAAACCGGCACAAGGCCAGCGGAATGTGGCGGAAGTACCAAATGCGCCCCGAGGAGATGAAAACATTTTTGGGTTCAGGGTTTCCGGAATCGCACATATATGCCCGCACGCACATAGCAGTGGCAGCAAGCAGCACCTGTCAGCAGCGGCAAGCGACAGCGAGCGGACGGGCAAGCAATCGAAGGAAGCAGAGGTGAAAACAGGCAGTCGGGCTCAACACGATCAAGCCACCAGGCCAGCATTCACGCAAGCACGACGGCAGGCGAGCAGACAAGCAGGCATTCGATCCCTACCTTTGCGGAAGTCCACGGGTTGGCCCCAGTCAGCTACAGCGTTGGGATCAGCGCGTGCGCGAAAGGCGAGCAGTGGCAGAGGGCTCTGGCGCTGCTCAGCGAGATGCGGGAAGAGCAACTGGAGCCTGACGTCATCTCTCTTACAACACCACGACCAGCGCGCGCGTGAAGGGAATGCAGTGACAATGTCCCCCCTCTCATTCGCTGGGTTCCTGACTCCCCTAGACGGCCGGGCGCGGCTCCACAGGGCCCCAAGCTTGCCGAGAGAGCCTTCAGGAGGCTCCCAAGACGTGAGTAGCCGCCCCGTGACGGCCCAAGGTCGCGCCCAGGCGGCCGAAGAGGTTCTGCGCAGGGCGCCCAGTCCCCATGTTGTCGCGGTTAGGTACGCGTTATACCAGGCGATGCATGCGCAGGGTGAAAACAGCTTGAAAGCAGCATCATTACAGTCGAGCATCTGATCAAGAGACTTCCTCAGTGAGGGCCAGCCTTTCTTGACCGACTTGCCAGAACACTGACCTGCTTTCTTGAGCACGTTCCACATCGCTAGCGCGAAAAGTGGCCCAGGTCTGTCTGGAGAAGGTCCAGGGAGCCTTGCCCAGCTTTCTTACATTATGTGTTTCTTGATCACAGGGGCATATGTCTCATGCTCCGGGCTTTTCGTCTTATTCGAATGAGACGTCTCGATTTTCCTCTTCGTGCTACTGCTCGTGCTACTGCTCGTGCACCGAATCCGTGACACATGCATTTGCCTTGATATGTGAGCCCAAGTTGTTTGTGATGGGCCTGGCAGGCGGTGTGGAGAGTACATGTGGTGCGTCGCGGTCGTCCCCTTCCTCGTAACAAAAAATATACGTTTCTTGATCACAGGTTCGGCTGTCGGAGGACTTCAGCGTCCCGTCCGCGCCCTCAGCGCGCGCTCCCACGCTCGTGCCACCCTTCCATCGGATGCGACGCTAGGGGCGAACAGCTCAGGGGCGGGTGTTACACGCATTCGCTCGGGAGCCTCGTCGAAGGCATGGACCATCGGCGCCCCTGGATACATGGGGCGTTCCGAAAAGGGCCTCGCCTTCGAGGATAGAAGGAGTTGTTATCTCTTCCGCGGCGGAAGGTCGGCGGAAGCAAGACGAGGTCGCCTCCGCCGGCAGAAGCTTTGCGGATGGCGGCGCAAGTAAAAGATGCGCCCCCAAGATCAGAAAATTGTTTTGGGTCCAGGGTTTCCGAAATCGCCCACGTGTATTGCTCTCTGGGCTGTCGGCCCCCATCGTCGCCCCCGACCCCAGGTGCTCGCAGACGCGGCGCAATCTCGCCTCACAGCCTTAGAATGGCGCCGAGAAGTGCCCCAAGGTGTACTCCCGCGAGGACCTCGCAGCCCCACAAGGACCCCGGCAAAGCTCCCCACGATGATCCAAGCTAGTGCTGAGTCGGGTATGTCCCTCTGCAGGGGGAGAATGCAAGAATCGTCAAAACATTGCTGTGGGACGATGTCTCTATTTTGTTTTGACTGTTTTTGTTTGCCTTATGCTATGCTTAATTGTTTCTTGCGCAACCCGCCTGTAGGAGGACATGCCCGACCTAAGGATAGTGCCAGTTGACCTCCAAGACTGCCCCGAAAAAAGGGCTCCCCAGGCTCGCAGAATCTCGCCTCGCTGCCGCGGACGGCTCCGAGAAGTGCCCAAAGGCACTCCCGCGGGGACCTCGGAGCCTGATAGGAGCCCTCCGGAGCCCCAGTGGGGGGCGTTCGTCGAGGAATGTGCGCCCAGGCGGCTTCGGACCCTGGAGGATCCCTTCTCTGGTCAGGGACGCAGTGATGAAAATGGCCAAGCCTCGATTGGCGTTCCACCAGCGTTCAGACCGTGGATTCCCTCTCCAAGGGTTCCTCATTGCCCTAACCGTAGTCCGCGAAGGTGCTCGCTGACCCCACGAGAGCACCAGAGGCCCCAAGAGTGCCCCGATGGACCTGAGCAAAGGGCCCCAGGAGAGCCCGAGAGGGTTCCGAGACAGCCCCGAGAGGCCCCCGGAGGGCATGAAGAGAGCCCGAGCCAGCGGTCGCAGCAAGCAAGCAAGCAGGGCCACCAGCAGCAAAGCTAGCAGCAGCAGCCGAGAGAGGCGGCCATCTACAGCAAATCAGGAGGAAAAGAAACACACAGACACAATGAATCGTCGACTCCCAGGACAATATGGGAAACTATGGGAAGTGGGGGCGAAGACGTTATCCTAGAAAATATGGGGAAATATGGGCACTCTTGTCATTTGTGTGTATTTATTTGCCAGGCAACGCCTGGCAACCGCATGCGGCGGGTCAGAGCCCGGCGCGGGTCGCTTGCCTGGAGTGCGGGTGCTGGGCGCAGTGCTGGCGGCGGCTCGCGAGCCGGCCCCGCGGCGGCTGGGCTCCCGCGTTGCCGCCGCGGGCCGCCATGCTGCTCATGCTGCCTGCGGAGCCCGCTGGCGGCCGCGACGCCGAGTGGCGCGCGGCGCTGCGGGCTCGTCTGCAAGAGCGGCCGGGCGCCCCTGACTAATTGGGCGGGCGCCCGCCGCGGCCGCCCTGAGGGCGGCGGCGCGGCCGCCGTTGTCCCCCCTCTGCCTCCCGCCCCTCCCCCCCTTCTCTTTGTTCCCTCCTTGCCACTGGGCTCCTGCACGCTGGTAAAACGTGTATTTATCTGTGTGTCCCTGGGCCAACCTTAGGAAAACGCAGCAGAAAGCCCAAGAAAGCCCCCAGACAGCAACAGGAGGTCCCCCAAAGGAGCGGCGACGCCCCCAACGGCAGCTCGAGGCCGCCGTGGCTGGCCCCGAAGACGGTCACACAAAATTGATTAAGATACAGTCGGGGCGCTGAAGAAGGTACTCTTCTCTTTTGGGAGGGGCTCTGTGTCCCTTAGTTGTTTTACTGTTTGCCTTAGGTTTGCCTTTGGTTTTCGGTCGGAAATCAAAGTTCAACCTAAAGATAAGAGGGACCTCGTTCCTTATTTCTCGTTCCTTAGGTCAACGCCCCGACTGTAGCTCAGTACCTCCCCGAGGTGGCCCAAAAGTCTTCTGGGCGCCCCCCGAAAGCCCGACGGCCCCACGAATCATACAGAGATTCCAAGTTTGCGCCGATATGCACACAAAGCAAAGCCGTTCGCGCAACGGGGCTCAAGACGGCCCCGAGAGAGCCAAAAGGAGGTCCCAAGAGAGCATTCACACAGGACGAGTCAGCGATTGCAGAACGTAAGCAGGTAGCAGAGGCAGCAGCAGCAGCACTAGGGCTAGTAGGAGCAGTAGCCAGAAGAGACGAGCACCATCAGGCATGAGCAGACAGCTCAAGAAAGCCTGAGATGGCCCTTGGAGGGCTC